CAAACACCACAACTGGAAAGATTGTTTTAGAAAAAAATGTTCAGTTGTACTTAAAAATTGGTGAACAAAACACACAGCAATTTCTCCTTAATGGATATAAATATAATTCAATCCTCATTATATGTTACTTAGCATAATGCTCTTTAAAATAAAACACGAGAAAAAGTCCCAGTGTTCTTTTCACTTACCAGGTTTTTAAAAGTAAAAGTCAATATTAATTTTTATCTTCCATCATTTCCTAAAGGAATTTAAAAATAAATATCGAGATTTAGTCTCTTGAGGTTTTTAAATCATCTGTACATTGTGACTGTCACGGACACGAAAGTATCAACGTCCTCCAGCACTCCACTTGGGTGTACCGTACCTGACCATAACGTAGTATGGCAATCATACTCATATGAAGAAATTAAAAAAAAAGATGAACAATGACATGGGACTTGAAACTTTTATTGATCCAAAAGATGTTCATGAGTTTAAGTATACAGTTTCGTACGTATTTTATAAAAACCTGAACATCATTGTTCTTTGAACGAGAACTACTAGATTTCAAACTCGAATTTCATTTGAATCCTTAATAATTGGTAGAAAAATAACCGTTCCACTTTAACCTGTTTATCTGTAAAGTAGGAAAACATGTTCATAACCCACTTGCCAGGGTTAGGGTTAGCAAAACGTATTTCTCTGGGCTATGACCTCAGGAAATGGGGTAGATAAGTACAAACACAATAAAATAGTATAATTTCCATCAGTTATATAAAGCATTCAAATAAACATTTCAAAGATATAACTATAACCCGATCATTGATATTTCAGCCGTGTGTGTGTGTACATAAATATTTGTCTTGAAAGTCACAACAGAATCGATTTCCCCTGGCAAATGGCGGAGCTACTGAAGCCTTTGTCTTTTCTGAACAATAATAAGATACTGAGGTAGCTTAAAACTTAACAAATAAATGTTGGACACACAACACAGTACAAAGTATGTCTTCTATATATAATGAAACAATACCAAAGGACCACAGTGAAACAATATTACCAAGAAACAGAGTTGACAAGTTGTACTAGACAGGTTACGACTAAGTTACATTCTAACTGATACTACCAATAGTTTCATTAGCTAAATGGAATGATGAAATTCACATTAAAAGGCTTACGTCTTGGTAATTCGATTTGACTGGTTGCTCTTCAGGGTATTTTTTTCCCCACCTAACACCATTAAAGCACTACAACCAATAAGAACAAAACGTGCACAAAAATGACCACGAAGAATTGCATTTTACTAAATCACACGCACAACGTGTCTGGAGAGACCCACGTCCAAGTCAGTGATTAATTGTTATTAGTGCTTTCAGAACAAGAATTACAGACCCTAAGAAAAAGGATGCTAAAAATGCTTACATCTCTGGCAAAACATCTACAAGCATAATGCATGGCAGCCTTGCCTTAAATAAACCAAACATAAACTTTAAACCCACAGGATAGGAGAGCCAGTAACTATAACAACACTGCACAGATATTTTCACCAGTTGCTGACAATCTTTAAACTAGTTTTCTAGTCCACTCAAAAAATGTCAACAAGGAATGTGTGGTAAAATTTTAATTCAATCAATTATAATAAAAAACAAAACAAAAACCACCTTCTAATAAGTTTTAGTTTCTTGCTCAAAAAAAAACAACCTTAAATCCTATCTCATACCTACTGTTATATCTGAAACCAAAATAAACGATTACAGCTCGGATGTATCTGCGACAAGAATAACATTAATTCAACCGAATTCTTAGTTTAATATAATTTCTAAAAAAATATATTCATAAAATATATCTAAAAATGTGATTAAAATAGTAATATTGGTATACTGTACATCAATGATGTAGTTAACACAGTGGTGCGAGACAAGGAAAAAAACATGCCCAAAAGAGTCAGTTTTTTAAATATGAAAGTTTCTACTCATGAATATCAGTTACACACAACACATAGATAGATATATTTACACGTTATTATATGTACAGAATATCTTATTGTTACATCTATATTATTTATATATCTCCTCAGACATAATTACCCAATTTCTAAAACAATGGGAAGAAAAAACTTATGTAAAAATGAATTATTTTAGTCTTGTGTTTCACATTATCATTTCAAAACTGATTTTACAATTATACTCTTAAAAGAAGTGTTTAATGTTAACATGAAGTGGTAGAATTTTAATTATAAGAGCTACAGTAGTGTATTTTTACTTTTCAGAGCTCTCCCAAGCGAAGACCTGTTTTTTTAGCAGCCCAGATTACACTTCAAGACTTGTACAATGGCTACTGAAGTTAACAATAAATTAACAGTTTCTACTAAATACCACCACCTGTGTGTGTAGACCCGTTTTTAGCAGCCCGGGTTACAGTTCAAGATTTGTAAGATGGCTACTGAAGCTAACGGTCAAGGAGAAATATACAGTTTCTACTAACCGTTATCATGGCTACTGAAGCTAACGATAAATTAACAGTTTCTACTAGCCATTATCATGCCTAACTTGTACAATGGGAGCAAATATCCTCAAACTGGTTTTATAAGACTACACATTATTTACGACACAATAACCACAGAGACATACAGACAATTTTAAAACCTACATACAAACAAATGGTCCTTACTCCTACACAATGCTTTATGTCATATACATGTATAGTTACCCTAAATTTGTAGTAATGGATTATTTCAATAGTTTACATAAGAATAGAAATACTAAGAACAAGGAAGATCACTGGAACTTTGACATTTTGAATTTAAATATCAGCTTTCACAAAAAAAAAAGATGCAATTCTTCCTTAAAGGCTTATCAATAATGGAATATTGTGGTGATTCTGAGATGAAAAAGATAGGTGCTTCAACTACAAGGAAAAGTGCATTCCTTTAAAATCAATCTTTAAGTCAAGGTCCTCTAAACGAGTCACCTCAAACTTATATAATATTTGTGAGTTAGTAACAATTTTGACCTCCAGTTACACAAAGAAGGGATAACTTTTCAAGTCTTTTACAATTTCTGTATTACTTTTTACAAAAAAAAACTCTATTAGTTAGATATACATTTAAAGCTTCGTTATCAGGCATCTTCAAAACCAGAAACTTTAATATCTCCAAATATAATTGCTCATTGTAACTTAGTGCTATCGCTGTAGCTTCGTTCAAGTTCTTTCCCACCAATCAGCTTCAGTTGTTAGCTGCCTGTGCTGTGAGTTGCATTTAAAATACTGGACTTATAAATGATTTTATACAGTTTAAGGTTTTATTATTGTTTAAAACTGTTATTGTTGTAGATTATGTATAAATAGTATACTTTAGAACATTAACAAGGTGTCAAAATTTTCCTGAAAAATATTGTTAGAGAAACATTTTCCTAACGGGAATTTTTGCCCATTCGTCACTGGCCAGACCCGTAGATGCCAGATAATAAAGCCTTTTATTGTATTTAGCAGAAAAATACAAATATCTATTTAATGTAAATCAATTACATTATTAACAAGTTTTATATTTAGAGTTGAATGAGGTGTTTTCCACACCTTTTCCTTTGCAAGAATAGTTATATTATATGTGTATCTATCAATTTGCAAAACAATATGCATAAATTTAAGTTGATGACGCAACTCCAATCACGCAGAAGATATGCCATAATTAACAGTGCTCAATAAGTTATTCCGTGTGTGCAAGATATTGGGAGATATAAAAGAAAGAAGTTACATGGGAAAGAAAGAAGAAGAAAAAAAAAGAGCACTGTTGGACGATGCCGCTTCAGTAGAGACCACATCTCCAATGGCACACAGGAAAAAAAAAGGATCTAGTAACATTAAAACTGAGTATAATATATTACCACAAGATCAAATGTAAGCTGCAAAACAGTAAAGATGAAAAATTTACAGTTACAAAATATATTTATATACTTAAAGTTGAAAGCAAAACACTGGCACTGAAATAGAATGCCTAAGAAAAGATTTTAAAAATACCAAGTATACTTTCTGCCATCTTCATCAATTGTAGAAAAACTTTATAACTTAATGCATGACTTTGTTTTCAAACCAAAATATTAAAGGTTTAAATTGAAGAATGAAAACTTTGATATGGTTTTACATGTGCTTTTAACCCATTGCTTTACCTTATCGTGAAATCTTTTCAAAAAGCCGTTCCTAATTAATTTGGGTATATATATATATATTTATAAACCGTTACTTAAACTTACTTAAAATATTTTGCATTATGTACTATGAGTTGTTTGTAATTCACAAGAAAACAATAGTATAATTGGATGAAAAGTTTAAGAAACAAATAGAAAAGAAATGACCTAACCTAGGTAGTAGAAACATAAAACAAGAAAAGATGTATCAAAATATTTTGGGTACCGAATAGGTTTACAGCCATTATAAGTTTATCTGCATTTTTTAAATTTGTTTTCAAACAGCACTACTTGCACTAACAGAAAGATGAATGCTAAGTTTACAAGCCAGTGCGTCAAGTCATACAGGTCTTTGTCTAACAAAATGTAGTACTTTTGTAATATGTCAACAGTTGCTTAGGGAATCTTTTACCTCACAAATAGCAGCTTGGATTTGAAAGTTTGCTAAGTATGTTTTTGAGCAACCTAAATATCTTTTATCTAGTTTAAGTTATTTCAATTGTTATCAGTTCCTTTTAAACAATTTTCTTATATTGTTTTTGAGTATAGATTCGTTTATTTACATAATACTATTTTTAAGGTTTTGTTTTTATGGCTTGATATTCTTCACTTTTTTAAAAACAAAATTTTATATTACTGCTATCAACATCAAAAAAGAGTTGGTTACAGATTCTATCCATAGCAATGTTTCAGTGCCTAGCAAATAAATATGATAAGTCAATCAGTTTTGTTGCATTCTATTTTAATCCTGCAACAGAAAGAATATATGCACAGATTATCCAGGCATTGGTGATAAAAGTCACAATCTTAAAACAAAAATATCATGTTTATTTGCTAATGTTGCATGTATCATCACCTACCTATTGCTATGAAACGAACAGTAAGATTACACGAATAGAAACATCAAAACTATTATTATCATTATCTGCAGCAAATATACGATATTCTCCGAGAAAAAAATATAAAAAAATGAGGTAGGAAACAAAGTCACAAATCTGTATCACAAATAAACTGACGTGATACAAATGTATACTGCTACTGAAAAAAAAAAATCAGAACCTTTACGAAATTATTTTCTTTCTTTACTAATATAACATTTAAAACTATAAACTGCTTTGCCATGATGCCGTCATAATTTCCTTAGATACGGACTTAAGAACAGTATTGGCACTCCTTTTACATAAATCCGTTGGATAAGAATAGATATTTGATGATCGTTAAAAAAACAAACAAGTATCAATATTTAAAATACAACTGTCTGCACTAAAAGTTTAAAATCCAACAAGTTGCCCACTCTAAAATAAATTCACAAAAAAAGAGGAAGAAACTGGAAACTAAGTATGCTCCAACAAGTTATAAACACAGTACAAGTGCATTTGTCTCACCTTCTGTGATCTTTCAAAAGAAATATTCTTGCAATTTATAAATTGAGGGCATTAATCAAAAGTTTTGAGTAATAATAGCAAGGAACAAGCAAGTCTCTCATGCATGGAAAATTGATGACATAAAGGTATTTTCCAAGTAAAACCTTTAACATTTTTTCACAGGTGCAAAATGATCCAATGTATCCAAATACCAGTTGTAGAATGTGGTACAGAGGAAAGATGTTATTTTTTCCAGTCTTGAGACTCCATAACATTTGGGATCAAAAGTACTTTTCTGTAGCACTAACTTTCCAAATTGATACCGTTGTTCTTTGAATTCTCTAGGTACGAATACCTGTCAACAGCTGATGGACTTTGTTAGTGTTCCATTCTCACAGCCAGATAACAAACTAACATAAGACGTGTGCAATAATATTCACCTTGCCACGTTCCTCAATTCCTGTTGATTCTTTTGTTCACAAGAGCACCCATTCAGTTATTCAAAATGTGGATAAAACGAAATCCTTAAAGTTTGCATCCAATCTCTCTCTCTCTCTCCTTCAGTCTTTATTTAAAAAAAGTAGTTAATTCAAATACGTATATGTTTGGTAGATTGGAAAACCATTACAGATTCATAAAAACTGTAACATTTATATTTTACTAACATAAATATATAAAACTGTGTGTAAAAATACCCGCTTCTATTTATGCAAGAGTCAAACCTGGTCAATCTCCCGCTACAGTTTAGTTCTATACTGCAAAAAGAACAAGAGCTAAAAGAGGTTTGGTTGGAGACGCTTACACTGTCAGGTCTGGGACAAGGAGTCCCAGGCAAAAATGGTGGGTGGTAAAGAGGTCTGTCTGAGAGGTGGTGTTTGGTTTGGGGGAAACTGCATGTTATCAAAATGCTGCCGAGAATGAGTTTCTTTTGCTTCTGACCGCGTACTGGCCTGGATCTGCTCCGGGTTGTTATTGTCCGACTCCTGCAACTGCGAAGGAGTGGTAGACAAGTGGTCGTCGTACTCAATCCATTCATCATGTACCTTTGCATCACTTAGTTTGTACCTCAATCGATTCTTGGGTATCGGAAGGCAATCTTCGGTAGTCCCAGTTATGCACTGATAGAGATACCAAACAAACAATATATTATTATAAGAAAATCTGATGGACACAAACTAGTTGTTGAAATATTATTTTTTAAAAAGTATGACAAACTATTTTCTAAATCATTTTTATATCAAGATTAAAAAATAAAAACTTCCATGAAATAACCCTTAAAAAAAACAAAGTTTGATGTACTAATATTGTTACAAATAAGTAGAAAAATAAACATATGGTCACCTCATAGATAACGGTATAGATGCTGTAGTAAAACAAATTAAAAGGCTAAAATTGAAAAAAAAAATCAAATAAGTACAGCTTATTTTAATTCATGTCCAAAATAACAATATTTACTACATCATATAATTATAAAGTAAGATTACAACACTAACTGAGAGAAGCAAAAGTTTTCAGAAACTGATTGATAGCCCACGTCTTTGAATGGCGAGTTTTTTGAAGAATATTTTCAACTTTAATCAAGGGTGGTGGTGATGATAGATTTGTTGGGGTTGAAGCTACCCCAAAATTGATCTTAGCCTCCCCTGTAGCCCCACACTTCATAGTATGAGTAGCCAAAAAGTGTGGAGTGTAGCCCCTCAATTTAATATTATACACAGTGTCAACAAGTTACTCATAATACATAGTGTGATGATGGTAAGTGTTAAAATATCTTTTGACTTTATCCTTAAAATGATAGATATAGATTATAAAAGGCTTGTTGTCTTCTAACACAACTCAGATTTAGCTTTGCTAGTACTGGTATTCTACAATTTTCTATAGAGCTTACTTTAGTAATTTGGCCCGGCATGGCCAGGTGGTTAGGGCGCACGACTCGCGGGTTCGAATCTCCGTCACACCAAACATGCTCCCGCTTTCAGCCGTGGGGGCGTTATAATGTGACGGTCAACCCCACTATTCGTTGGTAAAAGAGTAGCCTAAGAGTTGGCGGTGGGTGGTGATGACTAGATGCCTTCCCTCTAGTCTTACACTGCTAAATTAGGGATGGCTAGTGCAGATAGCCCTCGTGTAGCTTTGTGAGAAATCCATAACAAAAAAACAAACTTTAGTAATTATCATATTTTTACCTTTACTTCAGAAGAAAGATTTTTATCAAAAAATCTAAAACTTCTGGACTATTTTAAACAAAGAAAACTACAGCTGCATCATATATTTTATCAGAAAACTCACAAGGTGTACAGTAAACAAAATATAATGTTACAACTTTATTTTAAAACAACCTTGTTTTCATATACTCACACAAAGCAACTTAAGGACTATACTAATTTTTCCACAATTTTGAACTGACAAAGTAAAGGATAGGCAGCTAGTTAATTAACAGCACCCATCGCCGACTTTTATTTTTTCTACTCTTGTCTGATTGAATAGTGGGATTTGACGGTCATTCTTATAGTTTATTTTTGGCAGTAAGTAGACACGAACAATGGATCCAATCTAGGCGCTCATCTACAGTTCTAAACTTTCGAAATTAATGTAACAAATGCTATCGTTACTAATTGACAGATTAAACAAACAAGTGACGTAAATTATCCTAAATGTCTCTGTAATGAATATTCAAGAATCGAATGAGATGGAAACCATAAAAATAGTACGTAGCATTTATAAAGTAGTTTCTAATAATGTCCCAGCAAATTATTTTGTCCTTACTTTTTAAAGATGGTATCTTCACCCGATCAGCTGAGGGTGTGTCATTTGTCAGTATATGTAGCTTTAATAACAAATTACAATTATTTTTAGATGACAGTTTTAATTTTCTTCCACTGCCTTTTTTTGTTCTTTACTAGTGCACTCTTGCCACATTTTAACCGTCGCCGCTTAACAATTAGCAGACCAAGCCTTCAGCTTTGCTTACAGTAAATATCTGTTTTTACACTTCAGAACTAATGAAAATCCTGCCTCTCCTATCAATTTGACTCCAAACAAATTAACTCGAAATAATGTGCTGTTTGTCACAAAAATTTCAAAATAATTTGAAACGAAAACTACCTTTATTGTACGATATACTTTGAAAATTCCTCCTTGTTTCTAAAAGTTACCTGTGGATTTTCTGTAATGCGGACCTCAGACTTCCCTGGCATTTGGAGAATGTTACGACTGTTAGGCAACAGAGGATGAGTGAAACCATTTACTTTATGACTTCTCATATCATAATAACCACCCTAAATAAAACCACAATAATCAGTTTCCAGTCTGCTTACGAAAAACAAATCAATCAATCAGTAATTGTATCGCTACAACAGCATAAATAAATGAACGAGTTTATTCTTGCAAGAAATCTACCGAGTTATATTTTAATGTTTATTTAAATTAACAAAATACTCAACATTGTAAAAAATTAGAAAAAAAAAGGATATAAACCACTACAGAGTTTTAAAGTAGTAAAATTATAAACTGTTGTTTTATTCATTCAACACAACAAATCCGTATTTCCATCCAACCTTAACCCTTCCGAGACCGGGTCATGGGTGAAAGGCCATGTCATCTCATTTGTTGACTCGCATTCAAAATTTTATTGAACTACTATTTCATGAATTTATGTCAATAACTTTGGGATCAAACTGTAGATTATAATTCATATTTTAGTATTATACCTTACTCAAGTTCTTAATTTAAAAGTAAATATAATCAATCAGAAGCTCAGATGTCCCCCTAGTGGCTTTCTCAGCCATTTTAACAGGCTTGGTGCCATTTCTTTCTTTTTAAACCAATATTTCAATGAGGTAGACTGTGTCTTTAGTCTCCTCAAAATTTCATATTTTTTTAGACTAAAATATATCTTAGTAACTATGCTTGATGCTCCTCCAGTGGCACAACGGTATGTCTGCGGACTTACAATGCTAGAATCCAGGTTTTGATACCCGTGGTTGGCAGAGCACAGATAGCCTATTGTATAGCTTTGTGCATAATTACAAATAAATAAACAAATTTTATGGTACTGATATAGTAATTTACGATTTTTTAGTTATTCAAATGTATATATAAAACCTAAAAAAAATTATTTTGTTTCATATCCTCCATATACAAAATTTTTAATGGCTTAGCAACCTAAGTCAAGCAGCAATCGAGTACAAAGGTCGTAACTAGAAGATATAATTGTTTGCTTTAATTCTTTAGTTACTGTTTAATGTTTCAAGAAAAATAAGTTTAAGAACTTATTTCAAAATAGCAATAATCTATATACATATATAATGTATAATAATTGAAAGTTGACTGTATTTTACAAAATACTAGTCTACTAAAACACAGCCAAGACAAGCTACTTTGTACAGACCAAAGGTCGATTTTATGTTATTTGATACGGTAACATGAGTGCATGTGAGCCATGTCATTGTAACTTCTGTATTGTTAGCCAGGCATGGTTGAAAGGTCAATATAATAAAAATAATAAGCATATATAAATGTATAATGTTATGAGATTTAAGCTATTTAGTCTAAACATTTATGTTTTTGTGTTATAATTTGTGTTCATTCTAGAATGAAAGAGGCATAATTTATGTTTATTTCCTAATTTTTTATGGTTGTTGCGAGATCAGTCAAATCTAACGAACCCGTACAGAGATTAATTACTGAAAAGAACAGATAAAATATAAAGTTTTTCTTAAGAAACATTTGATAACTATCTGGACATCATAAAGATTTCGCATGTGAAATTTGAAAATTTTCTGATGCATAAAAGTATTTTTAATCTTAAAATGAAAATTACTTTGGATAGGCAACATGCGAAAAGAAAAAAAAAAGGCATGAAAAAACATTGCTTTACAAACCTTAAGACTTAACAAAAAAATTTGATATTTTGCATATGAAAGCATTGTAATGTTTACTGATAATCCGCCAAATTTCTTTAACATATGCTTACTAATTTAAAAGTTATAGCATTAAAACTATAACAAGCACAAAATGGTTACGAGGTCGGTCCCAGTGACCAAGCTCATCCTTACTTGGCAGATGAAAACAGATTACGTATATTGAAAGCGAAAGTTCGTCACAGCAGTTTTAGTTTCAGTGGTGCTAAAAAAGAACATTTCATCCCTTAAAGCAGTTTTTGTGATAAAACCTAATCAATTCACAATGTTTACAAATTCAGGAAATTTGGTGCATAAGCATTCTTAAGATTTAATATCAATCAATTTGATTGACCTCTGACCCATGGCTTTCAAAAGTCAATTAGGTCCACAACTTTGTATGTAGTACCTGTTTCATAAGTTTAATCAGAACCCAATCTTTAGATATCCCGTCCATAAGATCAGGCCAGTTGGATGGACAAAGACAAACCAATGTGTTTGACTCTGTTTGGGGAAGCAGTGGGGGGCATAATTACTCCCACACTTGAATTTTTTAGTTTCTGTTCATAAACTGTTTCACAACTTTTTGTCTAGGGAAACCTATGTTACATCTTTGGATTATGATGAAATTAAATACATTTTGTTACTGGTTTATACATCATACCAAGAACAAAACTGCATCCTCATGTTAACTTGCTATCTCAAGTAGAAGTGAAAAAAAAAGTAGTTCTAGTGTATACAGGTGCAAGAATTAAAAAAGTAGTTCCATAACAAACTGAAGATTGCATAATTATAATTTCTTTAACAATTACTTTGGTGTCTAAATGATTGTCCACCTCAGTATTTGGTATATGATTCAGCATAGGTGTAAAACAATCCAGTTCTTGAGGTTTTATGTTATGTGGTTGTTTGTCGTTATGAAAACAAGGAGGATGACCATTCTGACCATTTGCATGGCGGGATGAATATGTACCAGATGGAGGAGGTGGTGGATGTGGACAGCATCTGAAAGTGACAATATGACTGTGCTTTATTTCAGGTTTCATTTTGTTTTTAAATGTAAAACTTAAGATTCTGGTAACTTTATCTTTAAATATAAAATACAATAAAAAAAAAAGAGATCTGTGAACAGAAAACTTATTATAACAAAGTTGTAGTTGAATTCAGAGCTTTCGACAGCTAAGAAGAACCACAAGAAAATTCAACTTGTCATCCTACACTAATTTAAACTTGTAATATTTTCAAAAACAGTCACAAAAGATATGCAGGCAAAAATAATGTTTTAAACCTATCACACTCAATTTGCCATAAAGTCAATTTGTTTAAAATAAGTTGGATGTTTTTTTATACGAGTCACTGTATTAACAAGTTTTTAAACCACAAAAAAAAAGGTAAGTAAAATGATTTGCAATTCCTAATCTATTTAAATATATTTTTTAAAGCAGTTTATATAGTTCTTAGAAAAAAAGGACCTCAAAAATGTGGGTTACTTACAGAAAAAAGAAAGTACTGTATTGTATGATAAAACAAAATTATACTTTCATCGGCAAGAATAAATCAATACTGAGAAAACGAATTTTGTACTCAACCCATTAACTGCGGCAGGAGCAGCTCAGTTGCCGTTTTCTGACTCGCAGATAAAACTGAGTTGCCATCAATCACAATAAAATGGTAATTTTCGCATAGAGTTATAGTTATATATGCGTGCGACTGACGGATATTTCCGTCATTCACAGCCGAGCCATAGAACTTCAATGACGGAAATATCCGTCATCCGCAGTTAATGGGTTAAACCACCTTCAATGCTATACGAAACAGAAAAGATTGCATTCAAGTAGTATCTCATTGCAATATATATAACTTTATTTTTACATTACTTTTAAGTCCATTGGATCAAACTAAACAAAACAGTGGGCACTTACATTTTGTCTATAGGGTTGTTGTGTACAAAAATAAGATGATTATAAAAAGGTCATATAAAGCATTTTTGTTTACACTGATAATGTGAGAATTGCTATAATATTTTGATTTTTTGTAGTTTTATTTCTGAAAATAGAAAAGGAATCTGAGAAAATTAAAAATTTCCTCGTCATTTACCAAAATGTTAAATCTATGATCTTGAGCATTTGAACTATTTCAATAGAAAAAAAACATCATATCATACATCACCAGTTATAAAATTTCTAATCAATAGAAGTTTAGGAATTGAAATATGAGAATCAAAGGTCAAGAAACCTCTGTGAGACTAATCAGGCAACATTATGTAGTACTAGAGGCATTGGCACACGGGGCCCGTGCCCCGAATACCCAGTTGGTGTCTTAAAAATATCCGAATAGTAAACCATGATTGATATCAAACTGAAATACTAAAAATTAACACACCTAATCTTTTAAGCCTCTGCATAGTATTGTCAATATGAGATAAAATTTGAATTCAGACTATTTAAGATGTGGTTTCATGTTTTATTATTGTTATATGTTCTATAATACAGTAGTACATACTTTTTCAGAAATGACACTGCAAAATGTCAAAATATTCAAACACAATAATACCTTCTTTGCATTTGCATAAAATATTTTTTTTTACTACAATAGCATCCTCTCTCGACAAAATTTAAATGTCCACCAATTTGTTTCTTTTGACCCATTGATATGAAATTAGTGTAAAACAAAACATTTTTTCAATAAATTACAGAGGGATGCTATTTGAATTTTAACTCTAATAATGACCTTTGGTCACTGACCTTACTGGTTTGACTTTATGCTTCACAAATATAATATTGTAAATGCACTTATTTCTTAGCTATGGTTATTTAAAATTGTGAAACATGTAAACTCACCTTTTGCGACAAATGATGATGAGAATACAAATGATAATACACGCTAAACCAATTGAAATGCCTAAAATGATTCCCAGCAAAGGATCCTGTGGATGGACACCCAATACTACAGAAAGAAAGAACACAAACTCGTTTTAATCTTTAAAAAATTATCTATATATATATTCATATGACTGATACTTGAAACTTTCGGTACTTGGTGAAACTCCATCATTACAGAATTGAGGAAAAACAAGACAACTGTACATTTCACAAATACATCAAAGGCATCATCACGTACAGACTGAAATGTTTTGTAGCAGTTTTATTGGTGTTTAGTTTCAATAAGGTGAGATGCACCCTACGTTTTAAATCAATATAACAGTTATTTTTTTCTTTGGCCTTACCTTCTTGATGAGAGTTTCTTGTGTTATTTAGCTTTACTGGGATGTTGACTGTGATGGTTGCAGATGGTGAACTCACTCCTGCTTTTGTCCATGCTTGCATACAAAAGAAATATCTGGTATTGCTGGCTAAGCCTTCAATCAAGGAGCTTACCTCAAAGCCTGTAGTCCAAGAAAGATTTAAAATTTTTATATGATAATTAAAAAACAAGAATGAAGAAATGAAAGGTTGTTAAAATCTCATTAACATATCTCACTAGCTAGATGAAGAATTTGTAAAAATAAAACAAAAGCACAAAATAAAATTAATATCAATTTAACATATCCAATGTCATTTTTATATTTTTGTTTTATATGCAATTAATTTTCCTAATCAACCAGTTATTCTGGAAGTAACATATAAATGCATATCTTTGTCAATTATTTTATTCATGTGCCCACACAATTTTTCTCATCTCTTGATTTAATCTCTACAAAAATCTTCTTTTTGTTGGGAAATTTTCCATCTTGTACTGAGCTAATGAACTGCTAAATATTTTTATTATTTTTTTCATTAAAATGGTTGGTTTGAATTCTTGGACGTGCTTAACCTATGTAATTTAAACTAACCCTCCAACAAAAAAAAAACAACACTCAAAACCATGGGGGGAAAACATGTATATGTTCAAAAAATCAATTTAACACAAAAATATATATCCCAAGCATTTTTGAAAGGTTGACCTTTCTCCATCAGCTTTACAGTTTGCCCCTGATGAAGAAATGTCCACCTTTCAATAGAAATGTCCACCTTACTTTATTGTTTCTGTTGTTGCGAGACATTTATCACATATAAATATGGCCATGCAACAATCAGCTGATGATGAACTAAATAAATAGCTATAATGTTGCATGGCCATATTTATCTACTTGTATAGAAAACAAGCCAGCACCATTAACATAGAAACTACATTGAATGGCCATATTTATCTACTTGTATAGAAAAACAAGCCAGCACCATTAACATGGAAACTACATTGAATGGCCATATTTATCTACTTGTATAGAAAACAAGCCAGCACAATTAACGTGGAAACTACATTGAATGGCCATATTTATCTACTTGTATAGAAAAACAAGCCAGCACCATTAATGTGGAAACTACATTGAATGGCCATATTTATCTACTTGTATAGAAAAACAAACCAGCACCATTAATGTGGATACTTCTGGTTTATTTCAATTTCACACAAAGCTACACGAGGGAAGGCAGCTCGTCATCACCACCCACCACCAACTCTTGGACTACTTATTTAACAATGAATAGTGGGATTGACCATCGTATTATAATGCCCCATGGCTGAAAGGGCAAGCATGTTTGGTGGGACGGGGATTCGAGCCCACGACCGTCAGATTGTGAGTCAAGTGCCTTAACCACCTGGTCATACCGAGCCCATGTGGAAACTTCTAAACACTTTAGTTTTCAAAATACATACATTTTATTTCTATAAGATGATTACATACAATCAGTACAATATACATTGTTTCTACAGAGGTGTAGAATTTCATATTTAATTAACCCATGTATACTAGAGGGGTCAGAGTGAGCACGTCACAACCGTTTATAGAGTTACATTCAAAATGCAATTAAACAACTTTATCATCAATATATTTCAATAAAATTAGCATCAAAATACAGTTTATAATCCAAATTTTAAAATTTTATGTTTTAATTTCTTTATTTCAAAAAGAAACAGTTACATAAATTTTTAATCTTCACTTCTCTCTATCACACGATACTTGTTTACTCTGAATTGCCCATTTTAAATATTATTTCTCAGCTCCCGAGTTGAATATAAATTAAACATTTACTTATATAGATATTACTAAAACATCATCTTAACTTATAGCCTCCAATCTTCTCGTTTTACAGAATATATAAAATCAAACTCGCACGCCATGCTCTTCTATCAAGTACCCTCTTCCAAAATATGTCAGTAATTCTCTTTGATATTTGCTATCGGACTATCTATAACTAATAGAAAGAAAAAGATTTAATTTACTGATTTCCACAAAAGACTAGTTTGTTCGGGTGACAGTTTTTGAATTATTCTGTCTACAGTTTCATTGTTGCTCAACCAGGTAAGGGAATTAGTTTAATGCAGTTATTTCTTAGTTAGAAAGCTAGTTAAATTATAAGTTATAGGACATTGTGTTCTTTGTGCATCTTATTATTTTGTGTTCTAAACTGCATATTTGAAATAAATGAAAATTAACAAAAAACAAGTGTTGACTTTTACCGAGACTTCAAATGTAATAAAATACACAAGATCCACACGTTAATACTAAATTCCTTGTTTTTTATATATATAAATATCTTATATTTATTGTTACAAAAGTACTTAATTTGTAAAAATTAGAAAGTTATCAGGTTAGATTTAAAACTGAGGTATGCGTACGAACTGCATTTGTGTTAATGTAATTCAACATTATTTTTTATACAAGTTTTATAGCAACTTGAGCTAAGTGTGCGTGCTTCGTGGTTGCTGGGGGTTTATAGCTTTGATACATAGTTTTTGTGGTTAGACACACACACACATTGTCCAAAGAGCAATAAAACAATAAAATTAAGTGATGTGTACCGTTACAAGCCCAAGGCTGTTTAGGACAAAGCATTGTAATTTTCTTTATAATTTGCTGTCATTCTAGAAAGAAGAAAAAAAAAACGTTAACTATTTTTCTTTTGTATTTCTTTGTGGAGTTTTCAAGACAAGGTGAAATGGTTTGTATAGTATTACAGGAGAAAAAATAGCAGCTGAATTATAAAACTTTCTTGAAAACAGCTTTTGATATCCATCTAGAACATTGTAGAAATTATGTAAATGAAATACTAAAACTGTAAGATGACTATTTGGAGTCTGAATCAGACTGAATGAAGTAAATTCACAGACAAATACTTAGTAGAAATACTTAATTAAGAATTCTGATTTTTTGTGTACAACGTAATTTTCATGTTTACTAAACACTTACCAAATTTCGTGAAAATATACCGAGTAAACTTAAAATTATCTTATTTAACACTAAGTCTCCAACACGGGCTCAATCTAGTGAACAGACTCCACGCACATAGGGCTAATTAATAGAAATGCAGTGGCCAAACGTCTGCATGCAATATTTACATATATACCACTGTTGAGTATTCAACATTTACATTCTTTTTGTTTGAAGTTTCATACATTTTAAACATATGTGTTAATATTTCATTCATACAGTGTAAAACCTTTAATGAAGAACTGACTGGTATCGTGTACTGATTGCTTTTTTTAGCAACTACTCCTCAGAGCATTAGTTTAAGGTGGATCAAAAAATTATATTAAAGCAACATGAAACTGTTCACAGGCTCACCATTTTCTTCTTTCTTTTGCCAGTCATCTAGGTCTTTTGCATTTCCTGTTTGTGCAGTGTATAATATCTCGTACATAGTTATTTCACCATTGGGTGTTGCAGGAGGCTGCCAGAAAAGTTTTATGGCATGAGCGTTAACTGCAAGCCACGATAGATCCAAGGGAGATGACGGAACTGCAATCAGAAAAGATGCTTAATAATTGGAAAAGCCCTTAAATACAAGTAAGATGCTTAATATTTTCACCGAACCTAAACAACTTTAGATTTGGACAATTGTTTCATTATTAAAACATACAAAAGTTTTACTTTCGTGAATAAGAAGCAGTCCTAACAAAATGGAAACTTCTTGAAATGTTGGACATATTTAATCTATATTTTCTAATACAGACATAATATTTCATGTCTTTTATCACAACTGTTATATACATCTTAATCCTGGTACTTGTATCCGAATATTAACTTCTTAAACCCAAGCAGATGCTATCAGCATCCATCCAAAAATCCCAATTTACTCATCGCATGGTGACATCATCCGACAACTTTGGACGAAAACTAATCCAAACCATGTTATTATCCACCTTTTATAAACAGCCCAGAAATTTTATATAAGGTATGATAATAATTATTATGACATCATGGAAATAACTCCTGCAGAATATGCAAAAAATTACAGGTTTAAAGAGTTAATAAACTTCCAAGTGATTTTAACTCGAATCCATCCTTATCTATTACAGCTCTTAATTGTCTTTCAAAATAAAGTAAGAAAATGAAACTTGTGTATTTTAATTTATAGGACCTTAACGGCTGTAATAAATGAGGATAGATTTGACCTAAAATAACTTGCCTTTTGTATAAATATAAATGCCTTACGGGTTACATTGAAAATTTCTACATTGAACATAGAGAAATTTGCTGGTGATTACAAGACGGAAGTTAAACAAGTTCAATCTCACTCCTGTCCGTCAATGACGTTATTAGGGCTAAATCATTTCCAAGCCAAAGTTTGCTGAGAAACATTTCTTTCTTAAGGAAAAGCTTGTTTGTTTTGAATTTCGCGCAAAGCTACACAAGGGCTATCTGCGCTAGCCGTCCCTAATTTAGCAGTGTAAGACTAGAGGGAAGGCAGCTAGTCATCACCACCCACCACC